AGTAATAATAAAAAGCACGAAAATGTCAAACCAAGGGTCTGGTTATTTAAATTATAATTTAATAAATTTGTATGTTATTTGACTATTAAAATTGTAATTCTAAAAACTGTATACCAGCATAAAAATTCTTATTACTTGAGAAGTTTAAAAGGAAAAAAATCCTTGATGCCTCATTTGTGTGAACAAAGGTAAAGACTAAAAATAATTTGCAGAAACAATCATGGCTATAGTGCCATCAATAATTTATAGTTATCAATAATTTTTACAACATTTCTGCAATATTATTTTCTATTTTAATGAGAAATAAAAACCTGGCAGTAGTTTCTTATCCATCATCTTCAGAGAATGTGATGTTTTCCTTAATATTCTGAATGGTAGTTACAGTAGATGAGCTACCCTTATTCAAGGAATTCTAAAATGGTAGGTTGGGAGGGACCTTAATTTTCTCTGGTTTAGTGCTTACATGTTATAGTTGAGGGATTGATATTGAAGTTTAAAAAATATAATAATTTTTATTCTCTCAAAACTTAAGAATTTGTCAGTAAATGCATTAACTTGAATGTATAAAATGGCAGTATGTAACTATGTTTCAAAAACCATATGCTTTCCCCTCTGAAGTCAAATTCAGCTTAATTTAAATCATCTATTTATTTATTTATTTATTTATGGCTATGTTGGTTCTTCGTTGCTGTGCGCGGGCTTTCTCTAGTTGCTGTGCGCAGACTTTCTCTAGTTGCCGCGAGCGGGGGCCTACTCTTCGTTGCGGCGCGTGGGCTTCTCATTGCAGTGGCTTCTCTTGTTGCAGAGCACAGGCTCTAGGCACACGGGCTTCGGTAGTTGTGGCATGCAGGCTTCAGTAGTTGTGGCTCGTGGGCTCTAGAGCGCAGGCTCAGTAGTTGTGGCACATGGACTTAGTTGCTCTGTGGCATGTGGGATCTTCCCGGATCAGGGCTCGAACCTGTGTCCCCTGCATTGGCCGGTGGATTCTTAACCATCGCGCCACCAGGGAAGTCCCTAAACGATCAATTTAAATGCACAATCTGATCCCACCCCACTGTCTCATACCTGTTTCCCAGTCCTCTTGTATGTAGATACCAGCTTCTAACAAGACTGACTTATTCTTTTTCCAATGACTGCCAAGTGTACCTTGTATATCCTTCTATTCTTTAGCATTCATGGTCCCTGACTCTCACTTGGTGCTTAGCCAAAGTTGCTTTGTTCTGTTAAGCGGGTATATTAATTTTCTATTGCTGCTGTGACAAAGTACCACAGACTTAGTGATTTAAAGCAGCACAAATTTATCATCTTGCAGTTCTGGAGGTCAGAAGTCTAAAATGTGTCTTCCTGCACTAAAATCAATGTATCCACAAGGCTGCATTCCTTCTGGAGGCTGCAGGGGAGAACCCCTTTCCTTGGCCAGCTGCTGGAGGCCACCTGCATTCCTTGCCTTGTGGTCCCTTCATCTTCAAAGTCAACAGCGTAGTATCTCCATGTCTCTCTTTCTCTGACTCTGTGGTTTTCCTGCCTCCTTCCTATAAAGACCCTGTAATTACACTGGGCTCTTTTGGATAATCTCCCAATCTCAAGATCCTTAACTTAATTACATCTGAAAAGTCTCTTTAGCTATGTAAAGTAACATATTCACAGATTTCAGAGATTAGGATGTGGACATTTTTGGAGGACGGTTATTCTGCCTACCACAGTGTGTGTGTTTTAATTTTTTTCTCTTTGCAGTAATAATAATATATGCTTATGGTAGACCATTTAGAAAATGTAATTAAACAAAACAAAGAAAAAGCCCAATCACCCAAAGGGATTTACTTAAGCATTTTGATAAACTGATCTCCCCCTTTATGTTTTATTTGATTCTTGAATGAAATCTCTTGATAAATTTGATAAATTTTCCCTCTTACTTCTACCCATCAATAATTCTCAGACTATTTCTTATTTAACAATTCAAATCAATTCATGCAGTTCATTTCCTTTCAGCCTTTGAAATGGGACCCTGCATACTAATGACTCCCATGCACTTGTTGAGAAAGAACTTTCCTGGAGTGCAGGCTGCCCACTGCAGTGATGTGATGTCCAGGAAGCGTGCCATCTCTGAGTCACCTCACAGAGGTGCTCAGAAAAACATGAGGAAAGCAAGTATCTGGAAAATGAGAAGTGGATATACCATTTCTTTTATAGAAAGAGACAATTTTCTACTAAACATTTAAAAATATTGTGTATATACTACACTTGTTCTAAAATTTATTTTCATATCTTTTGTGATGATACATGTCTCCTATTTTTAGAGGTTTGTTGGACATGATGCTTTTAGATGATACTTCCTATAACACTCAACTACAGAACTGTATTCATTAGGGTTTGGAGGGGAAAAAAACCAGAGTCATTTGGGACATTATCCGATGGAGTTTTAGTTTAAAGGAGCAAGGTTTAAATCTTTTCACTATTTAGGTGTCCTAAGGATAGAATAATCTATAGACAGTAGAACTCATGGTTGGTACGGTCCAGAAGGGGTTTTGTTTTATCAATACATCAGTAGTTCTATATTGTGTTCACCTCCCTCCCTCCCAATCTCTCTCTCTCTCTTTCTCTCTCCCTCCCTCCCTTTTTTTAAAAAATGTTTATTTATTTATTTATCTATTTATTTGGTTGCACCAGGTCTTAGTTGCAGCAGGTTGTAGCATATGAACTCTTAGTTGCAGCATGCATGTGGGATCTAGTTCCCTGACCAGCGATTGAACCTCGGCCCCCTGCATTGGGAGCGCGGAGTCTTAACCACTGTGCCACCAGGGAAGTCCCCTTCCTTCCTTTTTAAAATCACGATAGCTATAAATAATTTGATATAGTACACTTGTTTAATCTCTTATTTAAAAATAATTAGGGGAGTATGTTGCTTTTTCATTTTTCCAAGTTGAATTGAAATTGGAAGCTTATTTTAGTTTGCAAGTTTTTACTCTTTTCTTCCAGTCTGATTGAGATATAATTGACATACAGCACTAAGTTTAAGGCATACAGTGTAATGATTTGACTTACATACATCATGAAATGGTGACCACAGTAAGTTTAGTGAACCTCCATCATCTCATATAGATACAAAATTAGAGAAATAGAAAAAAAATTTTTTTCCTTGTGATGAAAACTCAAGATTTACTCTTAACACCTTTGTTATATAACAGACAACAGTGTTAATTATATTGATCATGTTGTACATTACATTCCTAGTACTTACTTATCTTATAACTGGAAGTTTTTACCTCTTGACCACCTTCATCCAATTCCCCTCTTCTCTTCTCCCCCGCCTCTGGTAACCACAAATCCAGTTTCTTTTCTGTGAGTTTGTTTGTTTATTTTGGAAGTATAATTGACCTACCACCCTATGTTAGTTCCTGTTACACAACATAGTGATTTGATATTTCTATACATTTCAAAATTCTTTTAAGAAAAGTTACCAGGTTGCTCAAAGTGCTGCAACAGCGGACCATCATATAAGGCTTGGTGCCCAAACCTGAGGAACTCTCAACTGAATAGCATCTCTTGAGCAGTTGAACCTAGTGTAGGTCATTGCAGGCTTTCAGAGGGCTGGCCTAAGAAACTCATGCTCGCTCTGCACTTAACCCCTTTCCCATATGATAAATATCAGGGAGAGCAAGGAATGAAGGGACGGGGTGTGTGTGTGTGTGTGTGTGTGTGTGTGAGGAATAGCAGTAGCTAAAGTAATGGCAGTTTCACCTGTTCCCCAACCCTCATTCCCACAGGGCATCATGAAAAGGGCCAGGTGACCCCTACACACATAGTGGGTTGCATTAAAGGACAGGAACTTGGAGCTTAGGGAACATAAATCTTTTATAAACAACAATTATTAACAATAAGATATTGTTAATATATCTTATACAGTACTTTTTTTTTTTTTTGCTGTTATTATACTGTACATTTGCTCTGGAGGGAGACACTATCTCATCCAAAGCTGTTCGCTATACAGACAATCTTGAAAAGATAATCCAGAACACAGACTTTCAGTGCCTTGGCTTTTAAGATATACGAAAATATGAGAGACCAATGGAGAATTGTCTACCAACACTATTTTGTCTATATATATCAATATATATTTATTATCTGTCTTCCCCAAAGAGTATTAAGCTCCATGTGAGTAGAGTTTTTTGTCTGTTTTGTTCAATTCTCTATCTGCAGTACCTAGAACAGTGCCTGGCATACAGCAGATGCTCAATAAGTATTTGTTGGATAAACTAATGAATGGATGAGTATGAATTATTTAATCAATTTCCTAATGATGGGAATGAGGAGAAAAAAATAACCTTGGTATGTGTATTTCTATTAATATACTCACTGGTGTTTAGATATTACCTTTATGTTGTGAAAGTAAATTTCCATTTTAACACTGATCTTTATTAAAGCCACCTGATTTGATAATATACACATTTAAAGAAAAGCCATGGAAAAGGAGATTTTTTACCGAAACATGCTATAGGTTTTATTGCGGTTGGGGGCTTTTGAAACAAAGACGTGTGTAGGCACATATCAGTAATAACAGTGAATGTACAGCAAATTGAGTTATGATATACCACATGGATTTAATTAAAATTTCAGCTGAATTTTTTTTACTGTGAATCTAAGTGGTTAGATTCAATTTTGTTAAGTGCAATATTTGGCTACAAATTTTCCATTTGTCCCTTGGGTTTATGTAATTCTCCCAATTGTATCAAAAATGAGAATATTCATCTCTTTAAATATTCATAGGTTGTAGTAAGTTATGGTGCAATGTTGGGCTGCGTTATAGTTTAAGAAAGAGTGGGGTGGGAGATTAGTTCTGCCACTAATGAGCTTTATAACCTTGAACAAGTCCCTGAATGTCTGTACCACATTTTCCATTGTACTTTGAAGATCAGAATAGATGCTTTATAATGTTCCAATTCTAGATCTTTTTCAGTTTTGGATACTCACACAACTGTCTTTTATTGTGATTCTGTTTTCAGGTGATGTCCTTGTTGCCGTGAACGATGTAGATGTGACCTCTGAGAACATAGAGAGAGTTCTATCTTGCATTCCTGGACCTATGCAGGTGTGGACATTATTTTTCTGTGTTTTATGATGAATTACATGAAATAAGTGTTTGTGCTATCTTTTTATGAAATTCTGAAAATAGTCATGTATAATGGGCGAGTTATACTTAACATGCTAGGATATTTCTAAAATTTTAGCTCTTAGAGATTGTTCCAAAAAGAGAGAAATATCTACAAGAACAATAATAAAAATATACATAATGACCAACTTGCCATTATAAGTACCATACCTGCTGATGAAAATCCAATTCCTAGAAAAGCCATTTAAAATAGTCATGGAATTTTCTATGTTCTGACTTAGTAAAATCATAATTGCTATAAAGTTTTTTATTGTGGTTTTGTTTATTTTAAAAGCTATACTATTTTCTTGATTTTTTTTCTTTTTTGTTATCCAGTTTAGCCTTACTCCTGAGCTTTTAGCTTAATGAATTATTTTTCATTCTTTGTAGGTAAAAATAAATCTCTTTCATAATAAGTTATTTTGATTCTCTAAGCATTGACATTTTGTATTACGGATGACATTTTTATGTCATTAGATGTATTTTTTCTTTTTTAGTTTTTTTTTTTTAATTTAATTTTATTTATTTTTTTATACAGCAGGTTCTTATTAGTCATCAGTTTCATACACATCAGTGTATACATGTCAATCCCAATCTCCCAATTCATCACACCACCACCACCACCCCCTGCCACTTTCCCCCCTCGGTTTCCATACGTTTGTTCTCTACATCTGTGTCTCAACTTCTGCCCTGCAAACCGGTTCATCTGTACCATTTTTCTAGGTTCCACATACATGCGTTAATATACGATATTTGTTTTTCTCTTTCTGACTTACTTCACTCTGTATGACAGTCTCTAGATCCATCCACGATTAGATGTATTTTTAAAATGCTATACCTCCTGTTTAAGAATGTTCTGCTCTTGTTATCATCAGGAATTGGCTTTCTCTCCTTCGAGCAGTAGGGAGAGTGATATGTTTTAGACAGTTTAGAGACTCCATCAGGCAGTGGGAGGATGAAGCAAATTTCAGATTGATCAGGATGAAGAACAGAATGCCTGATAAATCAGAATCATATCTGCATCTGATTTGAGATTCTGAAATAATAGGACCCATTATGAAATTTCTTTCTTTTATGAAATTTATGAAATTTCTTTTTTTATGAAAAAAAGACTCTTGTTATGTTTACTTCCTTCTCTTAACACACACACACACACACACACACACACACACACAGAGACAGATGCTCTGTAAATTTAGCTATCTTCGGAAATGCAAAATGAAAGTGCTAGAATAACTATGGTAGCCAGTGACTAGCAATGTCTAGGAGTGGATAGAGAGATGGAGATGGAGGTGGGGTGCTGTGTGAAATAATAGCAATCAGGCGGACATAGCGCTTCAGTAGGGTGTGCTGGTATCCCCTTTAGTTGCTAGATTAGGGGAGGAACAGGGGTGGGCCAAGGTACTAGGGCACCTTAAGGGGTCCAGACAGCAGCTACTTGCCAGTCAGTAATGAAGAATCACAGTATTTTAATGACTGAAACAGTACACCCAAGTAAACTGGCTGCGTATCAGCCCCGAGTGAGGCCTCCTTCTTTCTTGCCTATGTCAGTGGCAGGTGTCCTGTCAGTACTACCAAAGTTCAACCACATCTGTTCTGTCTTCAAAAAAAGAATTATGTTTCCAGTGGAGTCACATTATACTTATATTTAATTAACATTTGTAAATTCAGCTATGCACCCTTGGCAGAAAAAGAAGAAAAAGAAATAATGATTTAAATATTTTTGGGCCAATTTCACCCACCATTTCCATGTCCTCATTAAGCATGAAATAGCAGTGTATCTGCTGTCTGCCTGGTTTGCCTTACAACTGCATTAAATGTGGTTCTGTGCTTAAACATACACACACACACACACACACACAAATATATGTATTGTATATATATTTATATTTATTTTATATATTTTTTTAACAACATGGCTCTTAAGTGCCAATTCTTACATCTTGTGCCAAAATGAGGAAACGGCAATTTGTTTTAAAGACGAAAGAAAAACTGTTGTGAGTTGGAATTAGCCTATTGAGAGAGTATGTTGTACTCCAGCACGGCCTTGCCTTCCTACTGCAATTTCAAGGGGATTTTGACTATATACAACCTGAGAATTGGGAAGGGAACTAGTGTTTGTATGTGCCATCAAGTGTGACAGTGCTTTGCTAATAACACTTCCCTTTGATAATTTCATTTGTTCCCCATAAGAATCTGTAAGAATCTGATAATTTGTATTGCTATTTTATATATGAGAAAAAAAATCTGAGAGAGTTAAAGATTTGTCCAAGGGTGCAGAATTAATAACTCAGAGCTAGAACTGAAACTGACTCCAGAGCATGATACTCCCATTTCACACACAACCTGGCTGGATCTTTGTGTCTGCATCCCCTTGTTCTTGTTGGGCCAGAACTAACTGCAGTGGACTTGTCTCAGAAAAAGCTGTTCTACCTGGTTTGTATCTATGGCATTTGAAACTGTTATGCAAGCAATAAGGGGAGAGGAATGCTGATTTATAAAGAATACCTTAGCAGACTTAACATTTAAATTTGGAAATAGCCAACAGTAACATTTTAAACTTAGAGTATAAAAATAGCCTGAAAGCCTTCTTGTCATCCAACAGAAGATGCCCTGGAGGAGAATATAATGTGGTAGAAAGGTCACTGAGAAGAAGGAGGGCAGATCTCTATTTTAAACCTCGCTCTGAGCAAGTTTCCAAACTCTTCTGGGTTTCAGCTTCCTCATTTATAATCAGAGGGGATTTGAGAGAATAAATCTCTGAGCCCCATTCCAACTCTACAGTTCTGTGTTTGAATTTTAAATAAGTTCTGTTATAAATAGTTTCAGAACACCAGGATGAAATCCAGAGGCAAAGCCTATATACTACATGAGGCACAAAGAGCCCAAATCATTTCTTTTGAAGCCAGGTTTTAAGATTCTGCAAAACAATTATCCTAGATTCTTCAAAAATGTTAATGTCTTGAAAGAAAAAAAGGCTGGACAACTGTTTTAGACTAAGACAGACTGAACTAACATACAACCAACTGCAATGACTAATCCTTTATTGATCCTGTAGTGCAGTTAGGAACAGCTGTATTGGGATATTTGGGGAAATTTGAATACAGCCCTTACTAGAGAATAGTATCGTGTTTAATATTAAAATTCTTAAGTATGATAATTGTATTTGGTTTTGTATCCTTAGGAGACGTGGACTAAAGTACTTAGCAATGAAGCATTAATATAGCTGCAAATAATTCTCAGGTAGTTCAGGCAAAAATTTTTTTTAAATAGAGAGAGAGGGTGAGGATGGAAGGAGAGGGGAGTCACACAAGCGAGAAGAGCGGGAGGAAGCAAATGTGGCAAAATGTTAAAAACTGCTGAAACTGCCTGAGAAATATATGCATAATTGTACACTTCTTGCAACTTTCCGTAGGTTTAACATTTTTTGAATAAAATGTTGTGGGTTTAAAAAAAATGTTTTAAAAATTCAAAATGACAAGAACAAAGGTGCAAGTACTTTTCTAATTACTGGCCTTTGTGACCTTGACCTGTTGTCACAGCTCTGTTCACTCATTTATTCAACAAGCACATAATGATGCAGTTATGCCATCCCCTCCCCTGGCTTGATCAGGAAACTTGGGTCCAAACATTGCAGTTGACCAGGATTGATTGCATTAAGCCCTGGGCCATCACCGTGTTTTCTGGAACTTTGGAGGAAACCAACTCCTTTTCTGGGAGATCAGCCTGCAGAACATTCATCTTAGACTCTCATCTTTCAAGTACTTCTTAGGCCTAAGAGAGAGGAGAAAAGGCTTCTTAAAGGAGATGACACTTGAGTAGAATATTTTAACTTTTATTATTTCTTTGTTCCACAAAAAGTGGTGCTCATATATATTGTGGAAAGATTAGGAAATAGGCAAATTTTTTAAAAAGTGTTTGTAAGTGTTTTTTTTATTCTCAGAACCCAGAAGTAACCAGCTATGTCAATGTTTTAAAGAAGAAGACTGATGTGATCAGATTTGCATTTAGGAATATATCCCTCTGGATGGGACTGGAGGTTGGGAAACCAGATGGTCAGCTTTCCAGTAGTTCAGAAGAGAAGGGGTGAAGGCCTGAGCAAAGACCTTAGCTGTGGATATGGAGGAAAAGGAGTAGATTAGATTTAAAGTATGTGGGAAGTAAAGAGGACAGTACTTCCTGCAGGAGTGAGCGGAGTCCAAGATGCCTTCCAAGGTTTGTCTTGAGTAATCTTGTGAGATCACCCGAAAGAAGAGGATCGAGGAGGGAGAATTCGCTGAACCACGTAGACTCAGTTCCTTCAGAGTTTTGACTAAGGAATATTCAGAGCATCTGCCAGAAAGGAGAAAAGATCAGACACATGGAAAGCAACAAAGATGTTGTGAGAGAGAGTGCAGACCATGGGGCAGAAGTGAGAGTGTGGTCTGGCTCTGGAGCTGCTTCAGATTCTGACAGCCTCCCCAGGTCCCATGTGTGAAGAGGATGGCATGGTAGCTAATGGGGAAAAAGGGTCGGTTGGTTGGTTTGGCAGAGGCTGAAGAGACATTGCTTGTCATGTGGGGTGGGTTGGAGGTGGGAGGAGAGAGAGGATATAATTAAAGCAACAAGATTTTGGAAGTGGTGAGTTATAGAGAGCATATCCTTGGACCTGAGCTAAGACATATCATCTCCTGAACTGAGGGGCCGGGGGGTACCGAAGAAAGAAAGGATGGGCAAATTGCACAAATAAGAAAACGTTTTGAGGGAGACAGGAGATAATGAAACTTGTCACCAGTTAATGTCCACGGAGGAACAACAGAAAACCCTTTTTATAAGAAGCCTCATATAAACCCAACAGAAAAACCCTCTTTATAAGAAACTTCATATGAACTCTTATAAAAACCTTTTTTTATAAGAAGCTATAAACTATCTTATATCAGATGCTTCTTAATAAAAGTTTTTTTCCTATAAAACGCATAATATCCTTAATATTTACATATATCAACCCCTTTTTTAAAATGGCACTTAACTCTTAATTTGGTTATCTGTCTTACCCATTTTTGCTTTTATCAAGACAACCAGATTTCCGGACATTTATAGCTACTTAACATGTAAACATTTCAGAATGTCTTGTTAAAGTGTAGTTATCTTTGCATTATGGAGCCAACTTTACTTAAATCAGAAGAATGGTGGCTAAAATAGTTCCTTAAAGAATGTTAATGGATGGTTCTGTGGTTTGTGTATTTGTTTGAGTTTTTGTCATGCTGAGGGGAAAAGGTTCTTGCCGCACAGAAAAGAAGTTCTGATGTTTGCCAAGTGTAGCATTAAAGTTAGTTTTCAAGTGTGTCGTTCTTCACCAAGCATAGCAAACCAGTCTTAAATTTTAGGTTGCCGTTGCTACCTAAAGTAAAATTGGTAAATTTTTATTTTAAGTCTACCAACTCATTTCCTTTTGTCATTCTTGGTGAGTCATACCCTATCTTTTGACCTCTCCACCCACAAGAATCTCAGCTGGAGAAGATGCCCTCCCTTCTGTCTCTTCGGACACATATTTCTTTCTCTGAGGACCACTGGGGCACACAGCTCTCACAGACGTTCCAGCCGACGCAGCCTGCCTCTGTGACACCTGCTCCCCTAGGATGTCGCTCATCTCCTGCTTCCTACAGTCAGATTTCTCACCCTTTACTCCATTCATATACCTAGTTCCTCCCCAAAGCCCAGTGCTGGGGACAATCTTCAAAGCTCCCGTCTATATTGGTACAAAGTCTGCACTCGGGATTTCCCCCAATTCGAAAGATTTCTCACATTCCCAAGGAACACCGTCAAAGACTCCCATATATTTTCTTTTGGACACTCCTAAATCCTCATTCTCAAATGAAAGAACCCCCTGAGCTCCAAGCCATTTTTACTTCATCGGATCCTTGTTCAAGGATTTAATATATTTATGCTTATGTTTATAGTTTTACTTATGTATACATATATTGAGCATTACCCACTAGAACAGATGCCATCCTCAGAACATACTCTTTCCGGCCATATAATGCTTCCATGTTGCTTGTTTGGGTCAAAACCTCACACCAAATATTCTTTTTCACATATTTCTAAGATTATTTTGGAAACAGTGTCTCTTCATCTCTCCTCACCTTATCCTTATATTAATTTTCCTCAGATAACTCTTGATTGTTCTCATATAGGATCTCTAACTTTTTATGTTTTTGTTTAGCTTACTTAATATTTTCCCCCCAAATATACTAGTGTTCTATTAGCCCTTTTAGATACAGTGTTCTAATAATACCAAGGGCCCATTTTTCAACATCAAGTTTACAGAAAACATTAAAAATTAGTAAAGGTTGATCTTTTCCGTTTGGAATATTAAATGTTTTGTAAAGAGACATGATCGTTTGGCCTCAGAAAAATTTCATGAGGAACTTCTCCCTTCCTACTCTCTAGTCATGACCTGGTTCATCTTAACTCTGAATATATATATATTGATGAATTTAGACCTCATGTCTCTTTTCTACTTGTTAATAAAATAAAATCTGAAGCTTATTTTTTTAAAATTTTTATTTATTTATTTATCTGGCTGTGCCAGGTCTTAGTTGCAGCATGTAGGATCTTTAGTTGCGGCATGCGGAATCTTTAGTTGATATGCTGGATCTTTTAGTTTCAGCATGCAGGCTCTGAGTTGCTGCATGTGGGATCTAGTTCCCTGACCAGGGATTGAACCTGGGCCCCGTGCATTGGGAGCATGAAGTCTTAACCACTGGACCACCAGGGAAGTCCCAGAAACTTATTTTAGAAAATATCTTTATTTAACTAAATTCACTTTAGGTAGACAAAGATAACTTAGTGCCTCTGAAGCGCCAGACAGCTACAGATAAACAAAATTGAATACAACCATAAATAGTCACTCTGCCAACCAAAAAAGTATATCTAGATATTTCTTCATTTGAAAGCTTTTATTCATCACGATAGATTTATTTTACAGTATAATACTAACAATAGTTAGATGGGCTGATGGGATTATGAATGAATTTTTTAAAATAATATGCTTAACATTTTTGATAAAAATATAAATATGTAAATATAAATATGTATAAATATGTAAGGCTCATTTTTTAAAGGAGTGATAGTAGTAATATATTCATATTTATCATATAGTTAAAGTTGGCCTTGAAAATAGTACCTCTTTTAATAAATTATTAAAAATAGGTATTGTTTATTATTGTCTTGATAATAATTTTTAAATGTTTCCTCTCAAAATGCAACTTACTGCATACAAACAATTTTGTCTTCTTTTAAATATTGACATTTCCTTTTTCCCCCAGTTTTTTGAGGTATGATTGACAAATAAAAATCATATACGTTTAGGTTGTACAGTGTGATGATTTAATATCCTATATTGACCAGACTTCTTTATTCTTGATCAAGCATGAATTTATTTTTTGACTTTTAAAATTTAATCTAATTAAAGGAGTCATTGCACTTTAATGTCTAAATTTAAAATTTTATAGGTTGTTACAGTTAGAATGTCCTGTCTTACTTATCTGTATTCTGATAAGACTTTAAACATTAGGAACATTTTGTGCCTATACAGCTTGTGATGATGTCCTTGCTACACAAAATTAACTATATTTAGTGAAAACTTCTTTTAGTCAAGATACACACTGATGCTTCTTTGAAGTAAGCAAGTTATCTTTGGCCAGCTGGCATCTAGACACATATCTCATTTTTCAAGGAAAGTTAACTGAGAAGTGGAAGCTACCTTTCAACAACTGGAAGATGGCCACATTCTGGACTCTTACCAATCTTGTTTGACATCAGGCCATGAAATTAAAACTATCTTGACAAAACTGATAGATAGTCTTCTTAGGGTCATGGTTTAAGATCTGGCATGCTGATGGTTTTTACTGTCCTTAGCCTTTATTTTAAAGGACCACAAAGAGTATCTAAGAGAAGAATATTTGAATATCACTTCACTTGAAAGGAGAGCTAATTCTGGTTGTATGAGGTTGCTTTTAATCCTGAATCTCTTCATTTTACCTTCCCCAGATGAGTCAGTGCTATTACCATTCTTAATGTAATGTTATTCTCTATTACGCTATCAGATCATACTAATTTTTGTTTTTCCATGGCATTTCTTGTATTTGTTGTCAGTACTTGGAATAAAATGATTAAGTTTAAACTAATGAACTTATATACAGAGAATTATATATTCTTAATAAATATTTGTAAAGATATGTGCCAGATACTGTCTTAGGACCTGGAGATATAAATAGAATACACAGTCCCTGCCATCAAGAAGCCCATACTCTAGAATGATTTTTATGCATACTGTGCGTACCTGAGTGAATGTGCATGTACAGATCCTTTGTGAAAACCACAGCTGATTTTCCCTTGTTGAAAAATCAACATGTTTTAATTTTTTAAAGGTGAAACTGACATTCGAAAATGCATATGCTGTGAAAAAGCAAACAACTCAACCAAGACAGAAAAAGTCACAGTCAAACCCAAGTGATTTAATCAAACTTCCATGGGGAGAAGAGGACAAAGATACCCAGCAGAATATTCTAAACACTCCTCACATCGTTATGTATCTCACACTACAGCTCGACTCGGAAACATCAAAGGAAGAGGTGAGTGTCTTCTCAAAAGTGCAAAGGAAAAAAGTAAGGACCTTTTTATAGTCTTCCAAATGATTCTCAGTCATTCTGTGTCTTATGTTTTTGGTATGTCTCTTACACACAGCAGTCTTCAAATTGACAAGCTCAATGAGTCCATTTATAGAGATTACTGAAATATTTGAATTTGTTTCTTCTACCTTCTTTAAAAATTTCTATTTGAATTGCTTTTTCCATGATATTTTTTAAACTATTCTTGCTTGCTTGTATCATTATTATTCTTGCTGTATGTTCTTATTTCTATTTTCTTGTGATTACTCTAAAAATTTTATCATATTTCTCTTAACAGATTCTAAAGTTAAATACTATCTTAACCCCTTTTCAAAATAATTCAAGGCCCTTAGTACACTTTAACTCCAATTTTCCCCTCTTCACCTACATGCTATTGTCATCAATATTTCAGTGCTATCACTTTTTAAAATCCACAAGTTGGGCATAATTATACTATTAGTACTACTACTTATTATTATCATATTTTATACATTATAAAATGTATAAATTATATATGATAAAATGCATATTTTGTACATCATATTTTGTACAGATGAGTCATCTTTAAATTTACATATATGCTTGCCATTTTCTTTATTCACTATTCTTAAATCTCAGGCTGACCTTATTTGATCATTTTTCTTCTTCCTAAAACATATACTTTAGGCATCTCTTTTTAACGAAAATCTGTTGGTGATAAATTCTTTTTGTTGTTATTTATTTGATGATGTCTTTTTCACCCCTTCTTGAAAGGTAGCTTTATAATTCTACATTGTGAGAATAGGCCAGGCGCTATAACAAACAATCCTAATGTCTCAGTGGCTTAACATAGTAAAAATTTATTTCTCATTTCAATGTACATGTTCCTGGTCAAATGGCTCGATGATTTAAGCCCTTCATCCAGTGTTTCCATTATTCCCAAGGACTTCAGAGTCCTCTCTTGGATCTTTTCCATCTAGTTGGCCAATGAGAGAAGAGAGAAAGCATGCAATATCACATGGGACATTTCAGAGGCCTAGCTTAAAAGTAGGAACATCATTTCTGCTCATGTTCCAATGCCTAGAACTAGTTATATGGTCTCTCCCAATGCAAGAAGGTGAGAAATATAGTCTTCCTGTGTGGCCAGGAAGAAGATGAAGTCAACACATAGCATTACTTATGCCAACTAGGTAGAAAGTTATTTTCTCTAATCCGTTCGAAGATAGTATTTCTTTGTCTTCTGACTTATAATTGCTGTTAATAAGTCTACTGTTGGTCATTTCTTTTAAGGAATCTTTTATTTTCTCTGTTCAGTTTCTTGCTTCTGGTATGTTCAAACTATTTTTTAACCTCTCCATAGTGTTTTTTTGTTTGTTTGCTTGAACATTCCTATTTTTATTTTTAGAAGTTCCTGAAAAGTTTTTAACTAATCTACATGCAAATCTGCCATGCTATTCCTAGTAGTCTTTTGTTGTTTGCTTGTCTTAGTGATTCTATACTTTATTTCTCTAAGCATCTCATACGTAGCTCTTCTTCATTCTATATCTTCCCATTCCAATATCTCTAAGTCCTAATGGGGACTCTGACTTGTTGTGGCTTACCTTGTTATTTCCTTGGGTATCATTGACTAAACTTACTGCTTGATTTTATCTTTGGGAGTCTTGTGGTTCTAAATGGGAAATGCCTTCCTTCAAAGAGAATTTGCTTCTTCTGCTTCTATCACTGACATAGAGCACTTAAGCCTCACTAACGGGTCTAGGTTTAATGCAGTGGTCCTAGGCCCAGCTCACCTACCTAGCCACTGGCCCAATGCTCAGTGTCCTGACTGAAGACACTGTAGGTATCAGCCCTCAAGACAACCTGCCTCTGTCCTTCTGCCCACTACTCACCACTCCCAGCTGAGGCCCCAGCTTGCTTTGCAGTGCTCGGGAAGGGGGTTGGAAAGGTATGGAGAAGATGTCATTGGAAACCTCTCTACTTGTTATATATCCAGCAGTTTAACAAGTATGTTTTGGCTATGAATCCAGTTGTTTTACAGCACAAGGGTCTCAGAGCATCTAGTTTACCATAATGCTTTGAGCAGAAGTGAGATCTAAAAAGTTTTTGTCTAATTTACGTTTCTTTCCTTTTGAAATCCTTGCAGCCTATACTCTCAATGCCAAACCCATTTTATCCAAAGGGTGTATTTCCTTGTGTTGTTTCTTCATATGTCAAAATTTAGCCAGTAATTGAACTGGAATGGAAGGGATTTACTTCTGCATATTTTTATAATTTTCTGTATTCTGAAAAATACGTGGAGACCTAGAGTTGATAATTCTAATTTCTTGCACGTTTTACTAGTCCTTTGTATCTTTAGAACAATAAGAAATTTAACCATGTATTAAATAGAACACACAACATATTTCCGTAGCATCCTGAATCTTTCAAGGTCATCTTGGAGTAGGATAGTGCTGAGGCCTTTTGTCATCCTTGCCTTTCTTTCCATGGGAAAGTGTGTAGATATTTCTTTAATGAACAGGTTTCTATCTGTCAACAGCCCTGTATCAACACTGTAATTAGGAGAGGCTTTTTATTCTTACTGAACAGAGTGGAAACTGCTGCAAATGCATGCTACTAACGAGTGCTTTAAAATACAGCTAATTAAATTGGTTAGGAACTGTAGAGCTTGCCAGGTCTTGAATTGTGAGGCTTTCTGGGCTGGTCACAGCAGAGGTTGGAATAGAGACTTTCTCAAATGACCTTTGTATTCCGGTATTACTTATTTTACAATTAAATGTCATAGGGTCATTTTGTTTTCATGTAAGTTACGTATTTAATAACAGCTTGTTTTCTTCAAGTTACAAGATTTGGACATTTTTTAAAAAATGAATCAAAGACTATATAGTTATTTGTTTAAAGTGGTGTTTGGTATTTGGCTAAATACAGTAAGTTTATTTACCAGTTAAGGTTTAAATTTATTAAGTAGACATAACAGAAGATCTTCACTGATGTTTGAGTTAATTTCTAGAGATAAAATGTTTTATAATATTTTTACACTATTACAGAAATTTTGAGTTGTTAGGCAGACTGTATTTGGCCACATAATTCCATAGCAATTTTCATATACTGAATGTGCTTAATACGTATAAAAAACAGATGTGTCCAGTTTGTCATTATTTATATTTTATCCTAATGTAAAAGTTGTGTGAAGGCATGGACTCCAAGTCACATAATTATTTCGTGTAAAGAGAGACCAAAGCAAAGTGTAGAATGCTCTTTAGAGAGAGAACCAAAGAAAAGATACAGTATTTTAAGAGTTTGGGCTTTCAGTAATGGCTATGTTAATATTTATGAATATTGTTATTAAGTAGCATAACTGGAAATTACTCTGAATTCTCTATGATTTCTATCTAGAAATTTTAATTTTGCCTGCTTTTAATTTGTCTTGTGAGAAACATAGCATGTTGCTTTAAGTAATAGCAAAAATGTGAGGCAGAGAATGATTCAATCCGTCATGTAAAAGTACTAGCAATGCACATTTGGATTTTGCAATTTATAAAAATTTTTTAAAAACTGTGTGTTTCCTGGGAATATGCTCTTCTTGAAAATAGAAAACGATTAAGCATTTTGTGAATAATCTTATGGATTTAGTATTTTCCGTAATTTAAAATGTCTCTCTTTTAAAGTTTGAATACAGATTAATTTGTGGTGGGCAAACGATTTCAAATTTAAACAGAAGATTTTATAGTATCATAATACTTCTTTCTTCCTATCTGCATGACTTTAATTTAATTTTGTATTCTCACTCTGTAACTTTAATTGCAGTCTTGTCTTGTGTTTAAATAAAGATTTAATGGTTTCACCAAAGATGAAGCTTATCTTAAAGACTCCTAAAATTTACATTTGGTGTCTGTGTGCATATGCAACCACAGGAGATAAGAATATCTATATAACGAAATATAAATATTTTAATTTATTGTAAAGGGAGATTAATGTTTGAAACATTGTTTGCAATTAGTTGTAATTATTCCAACTAATCACTATCCTACTCAGCATATGTATCATGACTAATTTTGACAGTGTCTAACTTATTTTCAAATGTGGTATTTTAAGTACTAGGTAATGTGTTAAAATTCCAGGCATACTCCTCTCCTTATGTTTGAATAAACCTCCCACTGAAGCTGAAAGGAATCTTTTTATTTTTTCCTTAATTTGAAGTCTGAACTTTCCATGAAAAATATAACGGTTGGAAAATTTGAGGGGAATTGACATTTCTATTTCTTTTTATTTAACAGCAGGAAATCCTATATCATTATCCAGTATCTGATGCATCTCAGAAACTTAAAAGTGTGAGAGGGATATTTCTCACACTCTGTGACATGTTGGAAAATGTAACTGGGACACAAGTTACTAGGTAATAATTGATTTTTATTTAGCTTTAATTCTCTTTCTCTCAAGTTCTTTACCTTAATTCTGACAAACAAAATACTAATACAGGTATCTATTTTACAAATATATTTGTATCTATAATGTAAATATTTATATGGCAGATATGATATCTGCAGATATTTTGTTTCTCACCTAGGTTATTTCTACTAATCATCTATTTAAAATGTAAGTTCTGAGTACAGCTGTAGATCTGGATGTTTTGGACTTTAACAAACTTGGATTAATGACTCTACTTTAGAATTTCTTCATGAAGGCAGTCTCTCTTAAGCACAGCATTATGATGAGTTTGGGCTTTTTTATGACTTTATCTTGATTATTAACTTGCTTGACAATAGCTTTGTGGTTGGTAAGGATGACCAAATACTGAATTTTTCATATAGTTCAAAATATTTTGTTCTGTTCTTAGAACAATGATAGAAAACACACAATACACATACACTTTAGGAAGAGTATTCAGAAGGCAGTATCATCTGTGCAAGTTCACTCAGTGATGGATGAGCAAACTGGTGTTAAATAACTTTTTGAAAGTCGATTATAGAGCCACACATCCCATTCCATGTTGATTTATCAAGTCTTGACTTTGAAATATTATAGTTAACTTATGGAAAAGGGGGGCTCAAAATTTTTTGAGTTTTGTTTCTGCTTTATTTCATAAAATAGATCTATAGATTATAAACCATTTTTCTTCCTTAATGTTTCAACAATTTTAGACTTTACCAAAAGAGTTTATCTCAAACTTTAAGAGCTCCTTAATATTGATAGAATATCAAATTGGATTTTCTAGGCTTTAATTTTTCTTTTCCCATCTTCTGATTAAAATGACACCTCTAGGATTTTTTTTTTTTTTTTGAAGTATATAGTTGGCTTACAATGTCGTGTCATTTTCAGGTATATAGCACAGTGATTCAGTTATACACACACACATATATATATTCTTTTTCAGATTCTTTTCCCTCTATAATAGGTAATTACAAAATATTGAGTGTAGTTCCTTGTGCTATATAGTAGGTCTTTGTCTAGGATTTTAATAGATGGGATCTGCAAGATAACGGGAAGAATTTCCTTGTTTTTCTAAATGAAAGTGATGTTTAACTCTGGGATTTTTAGTATAATGTATATAGAAAAGATTAGTTCATTTCAGAATACTTGTAACCGAGGCTTCATTTAGTCTATAAATTCATATTTATAAAAGCATGTGATAGGCCTTTTAAATTTTTTTTAAATTGCTTTATTGAGATACAGTTCATATATCATACAATTCACCCACTTAAAGTGTACAATTCAATGGTTTTTGTATATTCAAAGATATGTGAAACCATCACCAGAGTCAGTTTTAGAACATTTTTTTATCTCAAAGAGGAGCCCTGTACCTTTTAGCTATCAATGCACCTACCCCACCCCAAGCCCTAAGCAACCCCTAATCTACTTTCTGTCTCTATATATTTCCCTATTCTGGACATTTCCTAAGAATGGAATTGAAATATGTCATTATTTGTGACTAGCTTCTTTCACTTAGCATAATGTTTCTAAGGTGCAGGACTCATTTTTAATCTTATTAGTAAGAAAATGTGTTTAAGTTTCCTCATGTGGATTTTATTTTATTTTTCTCCAAAATATAGATATTTTACTTCATATTTAGACCTTGTTAGCTAAAATATGGGTTAGACATGTGGAAACCAGTAAATATAGAGAGAAAAACTTTTTTGTGAAACAATATGAAAATAATTATTATTTCAGGGATTCCTTAGCAACATATCTTTTGTTGCATACACTGTTTTGAAACTACAGTGAAATGAATTATGACTATAAAGGAGTCTAATATTTGTCTAAAAGTGTATGCATTTTTAAAACTTTATTAAGACAGAAGTAATATCCCTTTTAAAAAATCTGTTTAGCAATTCATATTTAAAATCCCACACACTTATCTACTGTGGTGTAGAAGGTACACTATATCCTAGGACTCAACAGATAAAGACTGATGGGTGTATTTTAATTTCAAAGAAAACACTAAATATATATATATTTTTTAATTTTTTTAAATTATGTTTAATATTAAAGTAGTTTTAAAAAGAAGTATCTGATCAGTTAAGAAAACATGGAAAATATTAAAACAAATGGAAAAAATTAAAATTACCCCAAAGTCTACCACTCAAAGATAACCACCACAGATTCCACAAGGCAAAGGACTTGGCTGATCTTGTTCATTTCTGTAACTCCAGGGCCCAGGCATCTAGTAAGTGCTCAGTAAATATTGCTAAATTAAATGATAACCTTTCACTTAATTTTTTCCATCTATTTTATACAAATGGAATCATACTCTACCTACTGTATTGTAACTTTTTTTGTGTGGCAATATATCATTTAACATTTTCCCAAATCAATAAATGTTATTTTATATTATATTTTTATTTTATCTTCTTCCCACCACCTACCCACACTATAAGAAGGAATCATGTTCTCTGTATTTCCATAGTTTATTGTTGTATCTCTCTTTTAGAAAACATTTAATTTGTTTTCCAACTTCATTGAAATATAATTGAAGTACAGTAAATTGCACATATGTAAAATGTGTAATTTGATCATTTCTGACATTGGTATAGACCCTGAAACTATCACCATCATGAATATAGCCATCACTCCAAACATTTCCTTGAGAATATGTTTAAATCTGACTTATATTTTGGTTACTTGTTTACGTATCTGTGTCCCATACTGAATGATCATCTTTTGAGCTGGGACCACATCTTGGTTTCTTTGTAATCTCTTTTAGTAAATCATGTTCATAAATAGACAATCAGAAAAGATTTGTTAAATTAAAACACTGGGCTGGAAGCTTTCTTTTGAAAAAAAATTGCATATAGTCAGTTAATGTTAGCAAAAGAATTTCAACATATTTTTGCTGTAATGGGTCTACTTTTGTTTGATCTAGAGTTTTCTGTGGGTTTTTATATTTCAGAATATGTTTTTGTTGTACAATTCCTTGTGTTTTCTGTGTGGCAGGTATATGCCAAGAAATTTGCTGATTAAGCGTGCATTTCTTAAATCATACCATATGTAATCTTTTATGAATGACTGTTTATAATTTTATGACATTTAAAGATGTTCTAATTTCATTTTGACTCTATTTCTTCTTAGCTCATCCCTTCTTTTAAATGGGAAACAAATTCATGTAGCTTATTGGAAAGAATCTGACAAGCTGTTGTTAATTGGCCTGCCTGCTGAGGAGTAAGTTGAGATTTTTGTTTACCTTAAAATCATTTCTAAAATACTGCTAACAAAGTCTGTTTCATTAAAATGATGACATTTTTGTCAAAGGTAAATTCAAGAAGTTTTACAATTTAAAGGTTTGCTGCACTAGTATAATGGCTACCTGTGTTCATTTGGTATGAATAGTACAGAAAGGTACCAGGAAGGCCCAGCTAGACCAATTAGTAAGGGTGGAGGCCGTCAATACACTTTCCTCTGAGATATGGCCAGTACAGAGGTGGCTGAGAGATGAGCTTGTCCTCTGCTCAAACTTTTGACAGTATCGTGGTTTGGATTTTGCATGTTTACAGTTTTTTACTGTTGGTGATTTTAGAGAATTAAGGGTCAGCAGAAAGGTGTTTTGCCTCGACGTTGAGCACCTTTGACCAAATAATGAATATTTATCTTTAAAGTGACTTCTCTAATGGTATGTCTTATATTATCATGGTCTCCTTCTTAACTTTTTTGCAAGTATTTTGAAAAATGTCTTATTTTAATAGTTGGAGGTAAGAGCAGGGCTGACCATTTATACATTTGGTAGAAGTGAGTTACTAAATCCAGCCCACACTCAAGGGGAAGAGTATCAAACAGTTGTGGACTTGTTTTAACACCACAAAGAGGAATTCCAAAGGAGGCTGCAGTGAAAAATATCAAAATTATTGTGTTTTAAAGTGGTCTTTAATTTTGGACAGAAAGAGATATGATCTATCATAAATGTGGGATTCAAAACTTTTAACATGAGAGGATAGTGGTGCCATTATATATGTTAAATGATGGCTGTCTTTTACCAGCTAATGTGCATTTTTCTGTCTAAAAACCCTGCTCGGAGACTGCCCTATGCCAATGGGTTGGATCGTGAAAAACTGAGTTGTTTTGAAAGAACAAGAATCGGAGAACATCCAGAATAAGATACCTTAGGGTGTGGTGGCAGGGTGAAACATCTGCCTTTGGACTTGCGTAGTAGCCCAAAACGCAAAAGACAAGACACAGATAATACAACGGTGAGATAAGGTAGTGTGGGCAGTTAGACAGCAGAGAGGAAGGCCCAGCTAAGGAACTGAGCAGAGGCTGCTTCCCCACTTTCTGATGCCATCAGCCAGATTAGTTAGGCAGACAGAGACAGTTTCCAGGAGAGGTTTTACCCTGAAGCCAAAAAAGGACTGTCACTGCTGAGCTCTGGATCCAGGTTGTGCTGGTTAGGGGACGCTCTAGCCAATTTCTCAACCTTTGCTTCCCAGGGTGGGAGTGGGGAGGCGGGGTCTTCCCTAAATACTTATGTCATCCCTATCCTAGAGAACTTGGCTTGTTAAGTTGGAATGAATTCGAAGGTCCTCCTCCTTCCCTATCCTGAGCTTCAGGTCAGAAGTAGCCCTAGCCACCTCTTTACCCAGTTCTCTTACTGCTCATAGCCACCACCCCGTACCGAAGTCTTTTCCTTATTGCATCTTGTTTCACATGACTGTGAAAGGTAGTTATTATTATTCTCCTTTGTTTAGACTGGGAAACAGAGTATTGAGAGGTCATGCACAAGCACCTCCTCAGTGTCAATTTATATGTCTCTGTATCTCCAGCATCGTACAGATGGTTTGTAATTGAACTCTGGCAGCCCTGGGATTGTTTTTCCCTTGTCTGTCTTAATGCCACAGTCTGTCCTTTCTTTCTTCACCACTGTGCCTTTCACAAGCAGGATGAGAAAAGTGTTGCCCCACCCAGGATACAGTGGAGCAGATACTCCAGGAACATGTGTTTTCACTGGGGGAGATCATCTTCCTGTGACAGCTGCAGTCAATAGCGGGGACCTAACCAGGAAGACAGTGTGCGGTAGTGGAGAGAGTAACCTTGGAGCTAAGGAAATGAATGCCCACCAGCAGGTTCTATTCCCTGGGTGTGCCTGTAGAAGTTGCTTAACTTCTTAAACCTCAGTTATACCCACTGGAATAATGGGAATAAAAGACCTGCTTTGTAAAATTCTTACAAGGCTGCATTGAGAAAATGTTAAGTTCATTTCTTTCCTTCCTCCTACTTTCTTTCCTTTCTCTTTCATTTAGGGGTGTCTTTTTGTCACAAGAATTAGAGGTTAAGTTGAGATCTGGGTATTACTGGAAAGTGTCGAGAATTTTAACATTTTTTTCTATAGGCCCAGATACTGAACCAGCTGCTTTATATGCATTAATTTTATTTAATCCTCAGAATGAACCTGAGAAGGCTTAGTGATTATGATCCCATTTTACACATAAAGGAAATTGAACCCTAAGAGGGTTAACTAATCTCCATACAGATGGTGATATAAAAGTGCCTCCTTGACCCATGTTAGAACCCCAGATCTAGACATCAAACTCTTTAATTGCTAATGCAGGAAACAACCATTATACACACAGCTATACTCAAAATTAATACACATGCTTTTCATATTCTTTACATATAAAATGTAAAGATGATCTGATTGATTATGATTATGTTATAAATGAACAGATGTATTTTTGCTTCTTTTTAGAGTTCCTCTTCCTCAGCTAAGGAATATGATTGAAGATGTTGCCCAAACCTTAAAATTTATGTATGGTTCTTTAGATAGGTAAGTACTTCTTTGAATTAAACCTCAAGTTTTAAGTATATGATTCTAAATCACTTTTCTGCACTTAATAGTGTTTCTTGGTTGTCAAGTTAGTTGTTTGGGTTTTTTCTTATTATTATTATTTTCTCATCCTTCATGACTGGCTTTTATTTTACAGCTCCAGGCAGTTTTTCATTGGATCCATTGCTTTTTCTTTTTTGGTCTCATATGTTACTTTTGTGAAATAGTGATGCAACCACAATTATATTCTGATTTGATGTATTTTTGTAGGGGCAAATGTAAGAGCATTTCTTCAGAACAGATACAGAAAAGAGAAGTTTTCTGTGTTTTCCTCTGATTATAACATTGTCAAATTCACTATCCTAAAATGTGATACTTTTTCCTTAAAAAAATTTTTAGTAAAAAAATATGTATGTGCTATTAAACTAAATAAAAGACATGGTAGAGAAAGTAATTGTCTATTTAGTTTCATGTATATTCTTCCATATATTTTCTATATAATATATACATACTCTTTTTTACACATGTGGGCTCATAGTACGCATATTTTTCTGCTTGCTTTGTTTTTATAAATTTTTTTAATATAAATTTATTTATTTTATTTTTATTTTTGGCTGCCTTGGGTCTTCGTTGCTGCACGTGGGCTTTCTCTAGTTGCAGCGAGTGGGGGCTCCTGTTCGTTGTGGTGCGCGAGCTTCTCACTGTGGTGGCTTCTGTTTGTTGCAGATCATGGGCTCTAGGTGCGCCGGCTTCAGTAGCTGTGGCTCGCGGGCTCAGTAGTTGTGGCTTGTGGGCTCTAGAGTGCAGGCTCAGTAGTTGTGGCTCACAGGCTTAGTTGCTCCACAGCATGTGGGATCTTCCCAGACCAGGGCTCGAACCCGTGTCCCCTGCATTGGCAGGCGGATTCTTAATCACTGCACCACCAAGGAAGCCCTGCTTCTTGCTTTTTTAACCTTGCAGTATGTGATGTATCTTTCTTGATCTGAAAGAGGAAATTTGGGGTAACCGTTTAGTATTTGAACATGTAAAATTATGGATGGAAAATCGATGTTTGTAAGTCCCAGTACTTCGGAGGGCTAAAATGATGCCTTTGCCTTCAAAGCTTTAAGAGTATATCAATATAAAGATTCAAAGACAGTTTATACATTTTTCCAAACCATAGTAGTATCAGATCTCTGTTTATCTAGAGTGGATCTTTATTGTCACTGTTCTCAAAGCCGCCTAAAGGAATTTTTTATGATGATGCCATCTGGGAAAAGTGTCTAATATGCAGTATTTTCCTCCAGGAAAATACAGACACCTCCCTCTCAAACCCAATTACTTATTAGCATTTTCCAAATGTGTGAACTTCAAAAGACTGGGCAGCCATATACAGTGCTTTTACCTTTTACTAATAAGAAAAATTTTAACCAATGAAGAGTATAAACTCTTAAGGTGGTTATAAACTACCTCCTTAAATTTATAATAGATGAGCAAACCTCACTCTGTTTTGCCCTAATTGAAGCTTTCTATTTTCATAAAACTAGAGATAATCAAAGATGAAATTCCTGTAATGAATTCTGTATATGAAGATAAAGCAATTGGAGTTGTTCTGCAAATTCCAATGGAGTAGGTTGGGGTCAGAGGGACTCTTAATTTCTCTGAATTTCATTTTGAAATTTATCCATTGATTTGGAAATATCTCCAAGTTGACAGCAAATTTAAGTAGTTTCTTCTTGCCTAGATGGGAATTTGAAAGGCAAACTAAGATAATAAATGTAAAGATCCACTGAGTTCTTAAAACCAAGAAGCAGTATGGATCCAAGATATTGTTAATAGTCATTTTACAATATTTTTTAATCATAAGGTTTTTTTCTGATTATGAAAGATATTAAAGGCCATTGTGAAAAATTATGAAAAGACTAAAATGTCCAAAAACTTAAATTATCTTTTTCAAGTTGTGAGCTGGTTAGTTCCCTGTGAGCCACAGAAAACTGATTATATATTAATAAAGTTCAGTGTTGTGATCAAATTAAAGATATAAGTATCCTTCGTCATTCCCAGCCAATCCATCAGCAAATCCTAACCAGTCTGTCTCCAAAACACATCTCAAATCCATCCATTTCTCCCCATCTTCACTATTACCCTGTCCACTGCCATCTCTCACTACTACAGTGCTTCCTGATTTCCTTGCCTCCATTCTTGCCTCTTTAATTTTCAAAGTTACAGGGATCTTTCTACATTATTATCTGGCTCCCACATACCTTTCTGATTTCAGACCTCAATCCACGCCGCCCCTCTATATTGTTCTGCAGGCACCCTGGCCAAACTTGTTCCCACCCTGGGCTTTTGCACTCTTCCCTCTCATTAGACCTTCTTGACATCGGGATCTCAGCTTAAATGCCCCGTTCTCAAGAGACCCTTCCCTAACCATTTGATCCAAAATACCCAACCAGTCACCTCACCCATTCAGATAGTCCTGTTCTCTGCTTAGGCCTTTGTACAAGTTCATGTTTTTACTTTTTGTTCATTTGTTGTCATTCTCCAGTAGAATGTGAGCTCCATGGGAGCAGAGACCTTGTCTTTTTGTCTTGATATTTTTACTGCTGTACTTCCATCAATGAGAATAGTTCCTGAAACATAGTAGGCACTCAAGTGATTAGTTGAATGAATCGGTGAATATTATTCTGATATATTAATGGTATATATACCAGTTATTGTGTTATCCAGTACTTTATACCAGTGAATGGTTGTAGGTAATATTATATGCTACTTTTACATGGCTAAAACCAAGTTGTCTTTTTTTTTTAAGAGTTTTTTTTTTTTTTTTTTTGGGGTATGGGGGCCTCTCACTGTTGTGGCCTCTCCCGTTGCGGAGCACAGGCTCCGGACGCACAGGCTCAGCGGCCATGGCTCAGCGGCCATGGCTCAGCGGCCATGGCTCAGGGGCGCAGCCGCTCTGCGGCATGTGGGATCTTCCTGGACCGGGGCACGAACCCGTGTCCCCTGCATCGGCAGGCAGACTCTCAACCACTGCGCCACCAGGGAAGCCCCATTTCAAGAGTTTTTAAGTAGTTATGCCTTCATTACTGAAGAGGGGAGGAAATAGGCTAATTATGTATTTACTGTATACCAGTAAGTAATAAGCATAATAAGTACTTACTATGTACTGGTACTTTGCATGAGAGTTAGATTGTATTATCCCCATTTTTACAGAGTTGGGACCAAAGTTCAGAGAAAGGTTAAATGATTTCCCTGCAAGATCTACCTAGTAAAAGCAGTGATAAGATTCAAAGTCAGATCTGTTCTATTACAAAGCTCAAAATCTCTTTGTTATCCTGTGTTGCCGGAAAGATACTGGGAGTTGTAAATGGTTGAGAGATAGAGGTAAAAGCGAGTTACATTTTTTGCAAAAAGGGAACTTCAGCCCATTCTGTTATAGATATACCACTTGTGTTAGCCCTTTGGTTTTCCCGTAGTACCATCTGCCCTATGTATTTGAGAATAGGCTTTAGGGTAAAAAATATTGACAGGGTGAATTTCTTAACACACTCCATCAGTAACGTAGCAGTAATTCTTATTAAGGGAGAAGTAAGGAAGAGAACCTATGTAGTTAGGAAAGATCCAGTCCCCTTAGGAGCATACAAGCAATGACTACCATTTCTGTGTGTTGTTCTAACTTTACAGCTCTTGTTTTTTCAGTGCCTTTTGCCAGGTTGAGAATGTTCCTCGTTTGGATCATTTTTTCAGCTTGTTCTTTCAAAGAGCACTTCAGCCTGCTAAACTACATTCCAGTGCCAGTCCCAATACACAACAATATGATGCTTCCAGTGCAGTACTTTTAGACAATCTCCCTGGAGTTCGGTGGCTCACACTTCCACAGGATATTAAGGTAATCTTAGGTGTCATAAATAAGAATCAGAGCCAGTTGCCTTATATTCTTTTTTTTTTTAAGTTTTTTATGCGGTGTGCGGGCCTCTCACTGCTGTGGCCTCTCCCGTTGTGGAGCACAGGTTCCGGACGCGCAGGCTCAGTGGCCATGGCTTACAGGCCCAGCCGCTCCACGGCATGTGGGATCTTCCTGGACCGGGGCACGAACCCGTGTCCCCTGTATCGGCAGGCAGACTCTCAACCACTGCGCCACCGGGGGAGCCCGCCTTATGTTCTTTATCTTCTCTCTCTTTTCTTTTCCTTAGGCTTTTTGTTATTTTCAGGGTTATGGGTAAGAGTTAAAGGGGCAGTTGGTTGATAAGGTAGGAGGTTTAATGCAGTGAACTTTTTCTTTCTAAATAGAAATTAGCTCTCTCATCTTACTTTAACATTTAAGCTTTGTTCAAACTTGGAGTACTTTTCAGAAACAGTAATTGTATGGTGTGTCTTACTTTTGAATTTTGTGATTTAGATTTTATAATTCAGGGTCATCGAGTTAGGTAGATGAAATGACTGGCTAACAAATTAATAATAGCAAAATCTTTGTTTACATGAACATTTGTAATTAGCTTTTGCCCTATGCCAGAGATAGATCACTAAAGGTAAGATTCATGGTGGTTAAACATTATCAGTGTGACTTTAGTCATTTCTGTACATCCAAAATAACTTTACTGTTGAATGATTGAAAAGCTCATTTCAGACATTTTCATCAACAATAATGTATTTAGCCACAGCATTTGTAATAGTATTAATGAGGCACTATGCCATAGCAGTTCCCTGCCCATGAAGTAACCCAGGTTATGTTGTAGTAATATCCCAATTCAAGATTCTGCTCTTCATGGAATTCTACAATATATGATCAAACAAATGCCTTTTGAAGTTTAATAAGAATTTAAACAGATATATCAGTCCCTTTGCTCAGTTTCCTCATCTGTAAAATGGGAACAATAATACTACCTACTTCACAAAGAAGTTATGAGTTATCACACATAAAATGCTTAGAATCATGCCTGGCACTTTGTAGTTGTAATTATAGCTGTGAGAGTACTATTATATAATGATTATTTGGAGGGAGTTGAGGGGTTAAAGCATATTTAAAGGAAACTTTACCTTCTTGTATTCTTTTTTTGTCCTTGCCTTTGTCAACTGCGCCCTGCTGCATTTTGTATCTCAGGCCAATGATTATCATTTTCCTAAATCATATAAAAACTAAAAAGTATGAGATAAAACTAAAAGTATGAGATATATAATTCTACTCCCATCAGTGTTTTCATAAGAAATCGTAAGTGTTCAAAATAGACAGAATTTAACTAGATAACCTTATGTTTAAGATAGAAAGACACTGTTTCCATGGTCTGTCTCATGCCCATTCTGGGGTCTTTTTCTTCTGAAAGACACAAGGCCGCTTTTCGTGAGTCAGAGTTGCCATCTCATGAGGCCTGTCGGTCTGGTCTTGCCCAAGTTCTTTCTCTTGTCTCAGAATCTGTTCACTAAAGAAATCTCTTCCGTCAAAATATATAGTCTCTTCTGTGAGATTAGAGGTACTTAATGTTTTTAGGGGCAAAGTCTTTAGATTTTGGATATATTAAGATTAAATATTATTTTCCTTCTAAGAGTTCTTGTTTAAGACATTTAAAATATAGCCTATTTGGTCTTATAAATTCCATATGAAGGCTACCTTCTGTATTCAGATTTCTTTTTTATTGGCGTTTTTTTCCCTTAATTTGACATATATTTGATTAAAAGGACTGTATGCTTTTATTTCAACCTAAAAGAATATCAATCGGAGAAATCACTGTGTGAATTCTACTGTATATATTTTTTAATCTTTTGACTTAAATCATACCTGTTGCTTATCTCACCAAAGCTCTGGTTGTCTTTGTCCTTGTTGAGTTGGACACTACTGTATGCAGATCAGCCTTCATTGTGCCAGGTACTCAGATTTGTGCTGTGCTTTGGGAATCCAGAAAAGTCCTCTGGATGCTCACAGTTTAGTTGGGTAGGTGGAATTAATACACGGGAAACAATGAGGATACAGCTTAGACATTTTCTATATTTTGTATTCTGGTTAAGAGAATTAAGAACAATATTTTTGCAGAGAGATAGATATCTTCTGGTAAAGTGATCTAAAATCTCTGATGAATGTAAAGTTTAAAATACATAATAACCCTTAAAGTTTTTGTTTTTGTTTTACCAGAAAACTCAAAGAACTCATACACTTTCCTTTTGCCTTTGAGATTTCTTACTGTGTGAAAAATAGTAGGGTTTATTGACTATATATATTCTAATGGAAAATATTAAGGAATTTTATGCCTTGAGAAATCTAGTTAAAAACATATGTGTGTGGGGGCTTCCCTGGTGGCGCAGCGGTTGAGAATCTGCCTGCTAGTGCAGCAGACACGGGTTCGAGCCCTGGTCTGGGAGGATCCCACATGCCGCGGAGCGGCTAGGCCCGTGAGCCACAAATACTGAGCCTGCGCGTCTGGAGCCTGTGCTCCACAACAAGAAAAGCCACGATAGTGAGAGGCCCGCGCGCCGCGATGAAGAGTGGCCCCCGCTTGCCACAGCTAAAGGAAGCCCTCACACAGAAACGAAGACCAAACACAGCAAAAATAAATTTAAAAAACAAACAAACAAACATATGTGTGTGTAAGGTAATTTGTGCCTGGTAAATTTTAGGTGGAAATAGTTGTTTTTAACTTGGAAAAAAAATGTACTTGTTCTGAGTTTAGTATATGATGAAGTCACACTTCTGTTTTCTTTCCCAGAGAACTTCCTTATTTTGTTTGTTTGTTTGTCAGGTTTTTAAAAAAATAATTTTTCCTAAGATACACTGGAATAGTAAAGAGAAAAGATATTTTACTTTTTCTCTTAAGGAATATGAAGAAACAATAATAGTAACCTTGTATATTAGCCTGTAGAGTTCAGTAGCAGGAATAGCAACCTATTAAACATTAATGTCTCTGAGATCAAAAATCACAAGTAGGTAATTTTCTTTTTGTCCTGTAGTCTTTCACAAGGGAAACTATAGCCACAAAAAGGAGAACATGAAGTATTTGCTAGATGCAGAAAAAAGTAGGTCACAAATGAGTAATAAGTCATACCATATGAAAAGCATTGAAAGGCATGACTAATGTTTCCACAGCTTTTGTCGTCTCAGTAAGACACATTTGTGAAACAGTCCTGCAGAAAGTGCCTTGGCCTTAAAAAAACAAAACAAGGATTATTTTTCACAAATACCGTATATGCTACAAGCTTCAACTGTCAATAGTTTCCAATTTATATATATGCATTACAGATTAAACTGCAGAATAAATTTATTCTGTTTTTGAATTTTGAATACATGAAAGAGTTCAGGCAAATTCCATAGAAACAAAAGCTAAATGCTAAGTAAGAGATTTTTCTAATAACTCTGTAGGGTGGTTAAACTGTGCCAGATTCCAGGGGAACACTTGCCTTCATGATTTAATCCATGAATAAAGATGAACAGTCTTTTTATACAGAACATAGGAGGGAGACAGGAAAGAATGTTGGATTCTTGGATTTTCCAAGAATTCAACTGTTGAAAAATATATAGGAAATAGAAAAATTAAAACAATTCATAATAGACTGGCTACATTCAGATTGATTTTTTTTCCTCTTAAGATTCTTAAAATGTTAAAAATTTTTCTAACAGAACTGTAAAGCAGCTTTTTAACCTCATAAATTAGTTTGCATTGAGTACAGAGTGAAGCCCATTTTGCAATAATTGAGATTTAACTGAAAAATGCCTATAGGTTAAAATACATTAATTTTTTTGTGTGTAATTGCAAAGCTTAAAAGCAAGATATTCCATTTGGGGACATTTCTTAACACAAAGGAGAGAGATATATTTATTCAATTCTTCAAGTAATTATTAAGCAATTTTATATGGTCATTACTAAAAAGTAAGTATATATGAGTTAAATGTTTGTGTTACTCTTTTTTTTTCTCACATAGGTGGAATTAGACACAGCATTGAGTGACTTGGAGGCTGCAGATTTTGCAGAACTGGTAAGAGAAGCAGTGGATTTTAGGAAAGGTTCATTGTTGATTTCTTGTTTTGTAAATCAGTCATTATTTTAAGTATTTTCCAAGGGGGCATGTAATAATCTTGGAATACATAACATTAGGTTTCTATATTGAAATGGACAAAATCTATTTTGCTTGCCTTAAGATTTTCTGTTCAGTTTAAAATATTTGTTACGTAATGTATGCGTAATGATTAATTACATTAGTACCGTTTGGAACCGGGCTTTGAGAGAAAGGATACACATGTAATATTGGCTGGTAGTATGGTTTTTAATCTTTTTAAAAAACTATTGATATATTTCCTAGCTCTGTCCACTAGAGCACCACTATCACCCAGGCCATGGTGTATGAATAATATTTCTCGCTAAAGGGAACCAAGACTCCTATGAGAAATGACTGATTCCAGATTTAGGGCTGACAGTGTACAAGATAAGCCTGGCAACATCTTGTTATATCAGACATGTAGGAAGCTTTCAAAAAGTACTAGGGTTAATTTAGGGTTCAAGTAATCAGGAGAGACCTTGAAGAGGCTCCCTCTTGAGCATCTATATGGACAATAACTGCATTGGATTGAAGCACATCAGATATGTCTAAGTCCAGGAGTTCATAATGGTACTAAAGAAAAAAGAAAGTTCTTCGTCAACTTTGGAGGATGCTAAGGAACTAATTCATTATTGTGAAAACTGGTAATTAAGGAGAAAGAATCAAACATTTATCTGCCTTTCCTATCTGAACCATACCTCAAGGTTACCAAATAGAGATGGGGGGGGAGTTTTTCTTTACGGAAGTGGTCTACCTAACATATCAAGAAAGAATGGCAGAATTGGAATACCATCATTTTTCAGTTCCCCTCAGTGAGTTAAAGGATCTAAGCAATGATCATCAGTAGCTGTTAACATCACAAAAAGAAAGTCAGCCAGATAGTATGTGGTTCCTGATGGAAGCACACAAACCACCTATGAAATATACCTGATCACGCCTAGAGGTCTAACTACCAGTTTACAGGAAATACAGGGAACGAGGGACATGTTAAATCACCCCATTTGGGGGAGGGGGATTGCAGTCAGCAAAATTCAGACTAGACACAACAGGACGGTTTCTTCAACAAATAAATTTGTTGAAGAAGGTGAGGGGGTGGGGGTGGGGTTAGGAGAAGCTGAGAGAGACCTGTCAGTCATAAGAGACTCAAGAAACATATCAACCAATTTCAGTGTATGGACCTTACTTGGATCCTGATTCAAGCAAGCAAAAAAATTTAAAACATCTATGAGACAATCAAGGAAATGAAAGTGTTAACTGGATATTAGGTGGGAATAATTCTCTAGATGTGGTAACGATATTATGGTTATGTATTTTTTTCAAGTCCTTCTGTTTTAGAGATGCATTCTAAAGTATTTACAGATGAAACGGTATAACATCTGGGATTGATTTTGAAATAATTCACCAGGGAGAGGGAAGAAGGAGAGAGGGATAGAGATGAAACAAGATTAGCTATGTACTGGTCACTGTTTAAGCTGGGTGATGATGGGCACATAGGAACTAATTATACTATTCTTTTTTTGTATATGCTAAAATTTTCAGTAATAAAAGTCTTTAAAAAGTAAATGGGAAGTTAGGAAGTAGAAGCAGTGAGGCTGGATCATTCTTCAGCAGATTGCTGGTAAATGTAGGGAGAGAATATTAGCTTAAGGGGTGGCTTAGTCTTAGCTAAGATCCTGAGCAAATGGAAGGGTATTCTGTTTGTAAAAATAGTGGAAATTTAAGCAAGGTGCACTCTTCATAGGTCATAAATTTTTTCACTAATGGAAAAAAAATTAGCTAGATACTAATCATTAGGAACAGTTTAGATCTAAAATATTCAAATATCTGGGATTTTAGGAACCTGTATCCAATAGATTTAATTAAAATCTAATTCCTGCCTTTATGGAACATCATTTTAATGAGCAGTGGAACTAACTATGGCTAGAAAGCGATCTATTGGGATTCCTTGCATGCAACGTCAAGACACAGTACAGAAAAGAAAAAAGTTGATAAATTGAGAATGTAAAACGATACATTTACTTTGGAAAACAGTTTGGCAGTTTCTTAATAACCTAAACATACACCTACCATATAATTCTGCCTTTCTATTCCTATCTAATTACCCAAGAGAAATGAAAGCTATGTCAATACAAAGACCTGTAAACAAATGTTCATAACAGCTTCATTTTTAATAGCCAGAGACTATTCAAATAACTCAGGTGTCCATCAACAGGTGAATAGACAAAACAAATTGTGGTATATCCATGCAATGGAATAATATTCAGCAAAAATATTGGCAGGGGGTATTGATGGAACTCTTCTGTATCTTGATTTTGGTGGCACACAGCTGTACACATTTGTCAGAACTTGCAGAATAATTCACAGTGAGTTTTACCTTAATTTAAAGAAAAAGAAGGATTATTCTAAACTTTTTGTGAAATTAGATTTGAGATTTAATCTTATATTTTAATTCTGTGTTCTCTTCTTTAGTTGTTTTAAATTATTATTAAGGTATAATTTATATTCAGTACATTCTTCTGTGCCCTTTTATAGTCAGTCCCTCTCCCTACCCCCAGCCTCTGGCAACCACTGATCTGTTTTCTGTCCACATGGTTTTACCTCTTCTGGAATGTCATATAAGTTGAATCATATGGTAGATAATATTTTGGGTCTGACTTTTTTTTAAGTAGGAAGTTAAAATATGTATTTTTATACAAATATTATATGAGTACATTTTTAGGGAAAAGTACAAACAACAAACATAAATCTAGCATTTTGCTTGACCACTCATACATCAAAACCAGCCCTATTCTTAGAGTTAACCATTGTTATCAGTTGATATATATTCTTGGTAACCTTGTATTTATGATCATACACTGAAGTAATTTTGTCTGATAATGTTCAGTATAGATGATGCTTTCACACTGCTAGTAGGCATATAAACTGATGCAACCTTTCAGGAAAGCAATCTGGCAAAATACGTTAAAAATATGTATCCTCTGATCTCGGAATTCAACCTCCAGGACCTTATCAACTAAGGAAGGTATCAGGGATGTACACAAAATTTCTTTATAGGAATTATCTGCACAACACTATTTATACCCTGAAAAATTACTGGAAACAAATTAAAATACCACATTATGGAATCTGTTAAATAATACATCCATTAAAATCATGTTTAGAAAACTGTCTATTGACATGAAAAAATGTTCAAAATCATTTTCTAAGGAAAAAGCAGGGTCCAAAACTATACACATAAAACAGCTTTCCCACGCCCACTGGGATGGCTACCATTAAAAACAAGCAAACAAACACCCCAGAAACACCAAGTGTTGGCGAGGATGTAGAAAAATTGGAACACCCGTGCACTGTTGGTAGGAACGCAAAGCAGTGCAAATGCTGTAGAAAACAGCATGGTGGCCCCCCAAAAAATCAAAACCAGAACTACCACATGACCCAGCAATTCCATATACTCAAAAGAATTAAAAGCACAATCTTGAAGAGATATTTGCACACCCACATTCACAGAAGCATCATTCGCAACAGCCAAAAGGAGAAAGCAACCTATGAAATATACCTGTCCACCAACAGATGAATGAACAAACAAATAGACAAATCCATGGAAGATACATACAATGGAACATGACTCAGCCCCAAAAAGGAAGTAAATTCTGACATAGGCCTCAACGTGGATGAACCCAGAGGACAGATACCACACTAGGTGAACCAAGCCCATCATGAAAAGACAAAGTAGGGACTTCCCTGGTGGTCCAGTGGTAAAGAATCCGCCTTGCAATTCAGGGCACACAGGTTCGATCCCTGGTCAGGGAACTAAGATCCCACATGCCACGGGGCAACTAAGCCCACATGCCACAACTACTGAGCTCATGCACCTCAACTAGAGAGCCTGTGTGCCCCAAACTACAGAGCCCACGTGTCCTGGAGCCTGTGCACCACAGCTAGAGAAGAGCCACAACTAGAGAGAAGCCCGCACACCACAATGAAGAGCCCACGTGCTGCAATGAAAGATCCCGCATACCTCAAGAAAGATTCCGTGTGCCACAAGTAAGACCCGACGCAGCCAAAAATAAATAATAAATAAATCTTAAAAAAAAAGAAAGACAAAGTAGTGCACAATTCCACCCACAGGAGATGCCTAAAGTAGTCAAACTCAAAGACAGAAAGTAGAAGAGTGGATGCCAGGGGCTGCAGGAAGGCGGGGGTGTGGGGGGGATGGAGAGTTGTTTAATGGATACGGTGTTTCAGTTTTGCAAGAGGAAGAGTTCTGGAGATTTGGCTGCCCAACAGTGAATGTACATAACACTACTGAGCTGTATACTTAAAAATGATTAAGATGGGCTTCCCTGGTGGTGCAGTGGTTGAGAATGCGCCTGCCGATGCAGGGGACACGGGTTTGTGCCCCGGTCCTGGAAGATCCCAAATACCGCGGAGTGGCTGGGCCTGTGAGCCATGGCTGCTGAGCCTGTGCGTCCGGAGCCTGTGCTCCGCAACAGGAGAAGCCATAACAGTGAGAGGCCCGTGTACCGCAAAAAAAAAAAAAAAAGATTAAGATGGTAAATTTTATATTATGTGTATTTTACCATGATCAAAATTTTAATTAAAATAAAACAATTTTTAATTAATTAATTTCTATTTCATGCTTTTTTAATATTACTGAACACCCAGTTAATCGCATTCCAGAGAAGGGTGACATTTCTGGGGCACAGAAAGAATGGTATTCACAGCTATTTCCCCAATCACATTTACTACCATGACCCAAGAACATCCAGTTGATTGCTTAAGGGAATGTATCTCACCTGAAATCCTCTTGGACTGCATGCATAAAATAAAAGTTTTTAAAAGCTTACCTATGGTGAAGCCAGTCAGAGCTTCCAGACCCTCAAAAAGCTTCCAGTGAACTTAATACCTTATTCTTAAATATGAGGACAGTAAAGCATCACAAGAAATACCTTTGACATAAAGGCAGTCAAAAAACAAATGAAAAACAGTGGGCCTTATTTCTTTCACTTAGCATAATGCATTTGAGATTCATTCATGTTGTCTATATCAGTAGTTCAGTCCTTTTAATTGCTGATAGTATTCCATTGTATGATGATATCACAGTGTTTATCCATTCCCCAACTGAGGGATATTTAGATTTTTTTCCAGTTTTCAGTTTTCCTTAGGTTTCATTGTGTGTTTTTTTTTTTCAACTTACAAAAGTAATGCATGCATATTGGTTAAAAATAAATGCAAGCATGGCTATTAAAAACAAATGTCCTCCCTCCTCATCCCTCTCCCCCAGTTCCATCTCCAGTTACAACTGCTCTTACAGTTTGGAATATATTCTTCCAGACCCTTCTCTATACACATACATACCCCCATACAAACCAACACATATGTATATACATACATGTATATAATTGGGAGTGCTGTTTTTAACAAGACTTAGATCATAGTGAATATTTTGTTCCACAGCTTGCATTCTTTGCTGAACAATGTATTCTAAAACCTTTTGTGCTTGCTCATATAGATCAACCTTATTTTTTTAAACAGATGTATGATATTCTGTGATGTGAACATAACCTTATTTCCTTAACCATTTTCCATTGTTGAACTTTATCTCCAGTTTTTGCATATTACAAATTCTACTCTTAACTTTTTATACAAACATCTTGAATCTCTTATTCAAGTATTTCTGTAGATTTCTAAAAGAGGAATTACGCAAAGAGTATGTGTATTTAATTTTTTTCTTTACGCACTGCTCAGTTGCTCCCAAATAGGTTGTACCAATTTGTACTTTCAAAAATAGTATACGGTAGTATTGGATATTTTAGGTGATGTCCAGTAGAAGCATTTTGTCTTGGTAGATTTCTTTCAATCCCTCTTGGGGTAACAAATCTTATGTTCTACTCTTAGATGTCTCTAATCAACATTATCTTACAAGAATCAAAAATAAGATTGTTCTCAGTCAAAAATAAATATATAGGCACCTTATGTCTCACCCCAATAGCCTAGTATATTGATTTCTAAAGAAGGCACTATGAAAAGTTCAGTTACTACAAGGACCTGCTGTTCAGGGAACTATATTCAATATCTTGTAATAACCTATAAAGGAAAAGAATCTGAAAAAGAAGGTGTGTGTGTGTGTGTGTGTGTGTGTGTGTGTGTGTGTAACTGAATCACCTTGCTGTACAACTGAAACACTGTAAATCAACTAAACTTCCATAATAAATAAATAAATACCAAATGAAGAAGAGATAAGTTACTTAAGAATGTAATTTGCATTTTTTTTTTTTTTTTCCTTGCGTTATGCGGGCCTCTCACTGTTGCGGCCTCCCCCATTTGCGGAGCACAGGCTCCGGACGCGCAGGCCCAGCGGCCATGGCCCACGGGCCCAGCCGCTCCGCGGCATGTGGGATCCTCCCGAAACGGGGCACGAACCCACGTCTCCTGCATCGGCAGGCGGATTCCCAAGCACTGCGCCACCAGGGAAGCCCTGTAATTTGCATTTTAACTGTTGTAGCTTAACTAGGATTTTTTAAAATCATAAAAAATATATATATACATATATTTATATATATATGTAAAATTTTATATATATATAAATCCACTGTGGTTTTTCCCCCAGTCTGAGGATTACTATGACATGAGACGGCTATATACAATTTTGGGCTCTTCTCTATTTTACAAGGTAAGTTGAAGCTTGAAATTTTTATATATGTCATATTGCTATATGAACAGACCTAAAGTAAATTTTCTCAAATTGTTACAAACATGAAAAATACAGTTATCTCTTTTGCTGTGAATGTAGGTACCATAAAATTAGATCTTAAAACAAGACTTGTACCTACATATTTACAAATACAATAAATATTTCTGGTTTCATTATATTTTAAAGCATTTACAAACGTGTAAGAGAGAAGCAGTACTCAAAGAACCAAGTGTATATGAGAGAAGAGCAGTACTACTTTGTTGATTTCCTTTTGCAATCATGTGTTTTTTTTCCTTATCTTCAGAAAGTAACTATGCATCTTTCTGGTAAATTTTCTAACATTAAGTAGTTGACTTGCATGTAAAGCAAGTTAAACATCAGATGAATTTAAGTATTTTAATTTTTTAAAAAGATTTTTAAGCACAATATAAAACATATCTAAAGAAGAATCAAACAATACAGAACTGTAAGCAGTGAAAAGTAAGTCTCTCCCCACCTCGACTCCTGCTTCTCCGCTTTTCATCTTCAGAATTCAGTGCTTTGGTAATTTTGCCAAATTCTCAGGCTAGTGCTACTTAGAGGTGATCTTGCTTTATGATAAAGTGTACCTGTTGTAGACTTAAGTTATTCCAAATACTTGATGTCTAGTTGAAAAAAACATCTATTTTTACTATGTCTTCATTTATTCCATTTGAAACTGGAATATTTTAAGCCAACTGAAGAAATACCTATAAAACTCTTAGAACTATATTATAGGATTATTGCTTTATGTCACTAGTTGACTTTTATTCTCTGTGGTTAAATTCAAGGGTTATTTGATATGCAGTCATTTGCCTAAGGATGATCTTATTGATATTGCTGTATACTGTCGCCACTATTGCCTACTGCCTTTAGCAGCAAAACAAAGAATTGGTCAGTTGGTAATATGGAGAGAAGTATTTCCTCGACATCACCTCCAACCTTCTGCAGACTCAAACATAGAAGTCTTTCAGGAACCTGAAGGGAGGTATTTTTTGCTAATTGTTGGCTTGGTAAGTTTACCTTAGTTTTTCTTGTTTTTTTTTTTTGTTTTTTGTTTTTTTTGCCATTTACAGACTAAATAAATACACAAACAAAAATGATAGTTTAAAATTATAAGCATGTCAAATAGTAGTATTCAAACAAAATGTTATGTGCCCTTATTTCTTCTCTTTTGTGTCTATTTAATACTCATACAGAAATATTAATGAAACTCAAGATAAGATTTTAGCAGGTTCTTAAGATCTTTTGTTCCCATTTTTATAAAAACAGAGGTTTTATCTTCGAGTTTGTTTTGGGAAATAGAGAGAGACATGAAAAGAATATAGAACCAGCAACAGAATAAATATGTGATTGTAAATGAAAGGACTACCAATTATTGAGGCTCTCTGAAAGCTACCTTAGGGAATTCCATGTGCCAAAAGTGGCAGTTGATGGTATATCAGGATAAGGCAATGTGAGATTTGTTTTCAAGGGTGATCAAGAAGCATTGAGGATAACTAAGAAGGAGAGGGAGGATTTTTCAATAATCATCACACGATTATGCCACATGCCCATATCTGTTTAGTATTCATAAATTTATACATGCATGTTACATATATTTTCATGTAGCTAAACCTATGTTAATTTTTTTTCTTATAGAGACATTATATGTTGTGCGTACTATTAGAAGCTGGAGGCTGTGCATCCAAAGCTGTTGGGAATCCTGGACCAGACTGTATATATGTGGATCAGGTCAAAACAACTCTTCACCAGCTGGAAGGGGTAGATTCCCGCATAAATGAACGGCTAGCCTCTTCTGCAACCCCCTGTTTGTCTTGTGCTGACTGGTTTCTTGCTGGATCACATGAAAAATTAGATAATTTAACAACCTCCCCTATCCTCAGTAGGCTACAAGGTACTTCCAAAGTAGCAACCTCTCCAACATGCAGAAGAGCTCTTTTTGGTGACTATTCCCTAAAGACACGTAAGCCCAGTCCATCCAGAAGTGGAGGATCTGACAGTGGTTGTGAAGGTGGAGAAGGTGTTGGCCTGAGTCCCCACACTACAGCATCTCAGGGTTCTGATGGTTCAGAAGAAAGTGGGGCCTTGCTTAAGGTGTGTGTTCATTCAAGTGTGTACGTTCTGGGAGCTAAGCTGTCTCTCCAGTCCTTACTTATAATTGCAAGAGAATTTTTAATGGCAGTTACTTCTTATTTGTACTAGTGGTTTTAGTCACTGTTGGCAAACCAACGATTTAGGACCAAAGAAAGAAGAAAATGTCAAGTGATAAAACATTAGCCCCTTGACAGCTAGGACATCTACTTGACAGTAATTGCAAGTAGGGAAACTCTTTAATCCCACTTTCCATGTTCAACTCTTTCTTTTCTATTCACAGTGATGACAGAAAACATCCTACTTGTGGGGCATTTGGTGGCTGATCTAATTAAATACCCTAGAAAGTGTTCAGTAGAAACAAAAGAATCAGAAACTTTAAAAAATTATATAGATAGATAGATAGGTAGATAGATAGATTCGATGTCCTAATTCCAAACAATAGAGCACTCTTGGAGCCCTAAGTGGGTATATTTAGGAAGTACTCATATTGACGGTACTCATTATCCAAGTCTGTGAAATTGGTAGGAAATATAGGAGGAAGATAAGATAGGATTTGGATAGCCTTAAAGAGCCTTGAACAACTCCTAAAAGAAATTGAATTAATCTCTAAGATTCAGCCATTTAAAAAATATTGATGGAGCATCTACTATGTGCCAAGGGCTATGCTACACAAAGGAGATAAAAAGATGAGTAAGACGCAGCTCTTGCCTTTCAGGAATGCAGAGTCTAGAGAGGGGGACAAGTGTGCATACATATAAATTGTAACAAAATTTGGTGATAGCTCCATTATGGCTCCAGTAGAAGGTTTACAGGGATAACTGTCATGTCTTCCCATGACATGGCCCTCAGGCCACTGTTAGCATAGGATAACCCAAGAAGTACAAGTTAGCATCAAAAATATTTAAAAGAAATATTGCAAAATAGTAAGTAGTTCTCTTAGAAGGATTTTTAGTTTTACGTCATTTCTCCTGTTTGATTCCATTCTTAGATATAAACGGATCTACTTAATAATACTTTTTAGGTCACTAAAAAGAAGTCTACTCTTCCAAATCCATTTCATTTGGGGAACCTGAAAAAGGACATTTCAGAAAAAGAATTGGATATATATAACACAATGAAGTAAGAAACTTCCTTGTTTTATTCTTTTTCACTTAACTCTGTGTCTTCGAGGAAATGTTACAACAAAAAAGTGCTATTCCATAACATATAGAGATTTTATTCAACAAATGTAATTATGATATCTCTTACATATGAAAGGTAATAGCTATGCTATTTCTTTAATATCTTTCATTATACATATAGGAAACATACTCATAAGAAATAAAAAGCATACAAAGTAATACTTCAAAATATGAAAGTTCCCACTTATGTCTCTTCCACAGGTAACCTCCCTTCTGTGTGTCTAGTTTTTACATTAAAGTTTACTATTTTTAGACTCTGGTGGATGCTGTGTTTTTGCAGATAGTCCTTAGCCCCGGGTACTCATTCCCAGTGCTTGAGAGTGATGGCTGCTAATGGCTCATGCATGGCTGAGTCCCTCCCCTGGCCTTGTCCTATTTGGAAGTTTACTGACTCCGCCAAGATTACAACCTCTCTCTAGGAGTAGCCTACATCTAATGACTAATAGATAAGTAAGTACAAAGGCTTGGCCCCTTCTTAAATTCAGGACAACTCTAAAAGGCCATCCAAGCTTCAGCGTTCCTGGTGGTATCTGTTGAGACGTCTGTCTCAACTGCGGCATGGTTCAACTTCTCCCACTGCTCAGCCCTTCAGTCTTACCCCCACAGGTGTTGTTTCCAAGCATCCTCCCTGATAAACTTCCTCCCTGCATATCTCCCGATCAGAGTCTGGGGCCAGAGAACTGAGCCTGTGACACCCTCTTTAGAAAATAGGTAAAACCTCAAATTTACAGTAAGTAGGGAATTCTGATGTAAAAGGAACTAAGTGAGAGGAGCATGTTTAACAGCTTAATTATTAAAATATGAAATGTTACATATTTAATTCTTGTTGGGCAAGAACAAGAACACTATTATGTGGTGACAGCTGGTCTTCCTGAGCTTCATCTGCTATTTAATTATGATGTCATGCATGGTATCAACTTGTGTACAAAAGTCAATTGCACAGTTTTTTTTTTTTTTTTTGGCCGTACCACGCGGCTTGCAGGATCTTAGTTCCTTGACCAGGGATTGAACCCGCGCCCTCAGCAGTGAAGCGCAGAGTCCTAACCACTGGACCACCAGGGCATTCCCTCAATTGCACACTTTTATTTGAACAAGTAGACATACAAATAGAATTCCCATTAAAAAAAAGAAGTTCAGAGCTACTGCCTTCTTGATCATTGAAACATTTTATAATAAGTTCAAATACATATCTCACAGAGTTGTCAGGAAAAGCCTTTTTCCTGAAGTCAGGGCAAAATCAAGGTAATTTGTCTACATAAAATAATGCACTGGAAATATTGATATAATGTGTTAAAATTTGGAATTTAATGCCTTCCAATATGATGTTTAATTTTTTAATAGTTAAAAATGTTTTTTAATCAAAGAAATCTAAATCAAACCTTTGTTGGAGGCATGAAATACCTTCCCCAAAACCTAGTCTTCCATTTAACAAAAACTACTGCTCTGCATTTTTATTACCTCCATATCTTATTTTTTAAATATGTATGTGTGTTATTTGGGCTTTAGTAAAAAGAAACTCTTTTTCCAAGTTTATAACTTAAGTTTATATTATAACTTAACATAAATGTATAATTATGTTAAATTAAGCATAAAATAATATGTGATGTAAATCATAGGCTCTCCTATTTAAAAGGATGCTACAGATGCATATTTATTCTCTTTATTAACATGGAAAGATCTTCAAACTATGTAGTTAATTTTTAAAGTGTGATATAAACCAGTGTGTAATATATTATCCTAATTTGTATTTGTTTTTGTAAAATAAAAATATATAGCATACTAAAAACAATAATATACAGAAAACATTTCATTCAGTAACCAAGTCCTATCCATTCTGCATGGATTCAACCCCTAATGATCCTACCCTAGATCAAGCTCCTACTCTCACCTGGTTGAATTGCAATGGGCTCCCAACTCCTAGCCTACCCTGAATCCATTCTCTGCTGTAGGAGTGACCTTTCTGAAGAACTAATCTGATTTAATCTACATTTTTTTGAACAAATATTTGTCTTCCCAGTGAGTAATTGCTTGTTTGATGATTTTTAAACTTTTGGTTTATACACTGAGTGAGTTAACATACACTGGGTTGATTTATGGTTTTCAAGCACTAGACCTGCTCATTTTGTCGTGGAGTTGTTTTCAGAGAAAATTAAAGAAGTTAACACAAATGTTAATTCTAAACTTCCCTAAATAGGAATCTTATTAATTAATGATTCCTATTAAGAATTAATGATTCTTACTAGGAATCATTTCTTTTCTATACCTTTTCTTGAATTTGGTGACCTCAGGATTAAAATGTATGTTTTAAATTATTTCCTTTTTGAATAATTATAATTTTTTTCATTTTGATTATTTTTTACTTGATTGAAAAAATATCCGCCACCAGTATTAATGAGCCAAACACCCTATGGAAAAGTATGAGAAAAATTTGTAGATGACCTCCTTCGCTGCCTATCCCTGGTCTCTAAAGAGAACCAAGAGCATTAGTTAGTGATCAAAAGTTATTCTGATCTTGCTGCCTAATTTACAGTTTAACAGGAATTTGGTTATCATGGATGATTGAGGCAGTATTTAGGCTAAGAGCTGAAATATGCCTTTGCTTTGCCTCTGTGCTATGGCTGGAAGAAAAATCAACTAAATGAATTTTTTTTATAGACATTAGAATGAGAATAGAGCAGCCTGAGTAAGATGTAGCTGGGGAATTGCTGTCCATATATTTAAAGATTGCCAATCAGGAAAAAGCAAGGTATAGTGGAGCAGAGTCAGTTAAGCTCTGACACTTAGCTATGTGACCTCAAACAAGTTAATCCAAGTGCTCTGAACATTGATTTCCTCACGGTTGAAATGAAGATAGTAATGTTTAATATCTTACAGGGTCATTATGAGAATTAAGTCTAAGGTATTTTAAAGCACCTACCCTGGAACATAGAAGACATTCAGTATATGATAACTATTGCCATTCTTTCATTGTTGCCGTTATTGTTGCTCTTTAGCTCTTCTTACTGCTGGTAGAAATAAGCAGTATTTATAGGTTCTGCTGGCCTGTCTGAGATCTCAGTAGGGGAAGAAAGGATGGAAAAGAAGAATGGAGAAGTGAAAATAGTAAGAGAACATAGAAGAGAAGGAAGACTGTAATGATAAGAAGTAGAATACTTCTAGCAATTGCCATGGTATTCTAGAATATTAACTCAGCTTTGCAGTTGGTAATAATAATTTTATTTTTCTTCAGGATCATCAGTTTGACTATCGTGGTAAGAGACTTTAATGCTACTAACTGAAAAGCTTAGTTTATTGGAAGGTGTTTTTATTTGTGGTCCACGCTAGACATACCTTGTTTATGGCTTGTAGATATCTGGGCCAGACATGGGCTGAGTTATTCATTACCAACCATGGAAAAAGAGGAGTTTAGCCAGTTTGGGTTGTTTAGCAAAGGGATGATTAAGTTACTTGCAAACGAATTGGTGTTTATTTATCCTTGCATAACATGTAGTGTTTGCCTCCATTAAGGGAATTGATAATAACCCTAGCCTGTATTCCGATAAGGAGGAAAGGGAATTCAATGTTTGGCCTAGTTTCCCTTCCCTAATTACACTCCTAATATTCTATTGTAGTTAAAAGCTTATTAGATGTCTACAGCATTCAAAATGAAGCAACATTTTTAAGTTTACTTCTAATATCTTTTTTTTTTCTTTTCAAGATTGACGTCTGGTCCTGAGAACACACTTTTCCACTATGTCGCTTTAGAAACAGTGCAAGGGATCTTTATTACTCCTACCCACGAAGAGGTGGCACAGCTAAGTGGCTCTATCCATCCTCAGCTGATAAAAAATTTCCATCAGTGTTGTCTCTCCATTCGTGCAGTTTTCCAACAGACATTGGTTGAAGAGGTAGGGCACTGCTATAATATAATTTTCTGCCAGTTTATTTCCAGACCTCTATTCTCTCTAAAACTCTTTAATCAGTATGTCCAGCAATGACTATTTTCATTTATTTTTTTTAACAGTCATTCCATCTACCTTGAATGCCAAAGGATTATATTCACTGTACTTAACTTTAAAACTTTGTTTCATAATTGTGAGTTTGATGTCCCAGATGACTATTTCAGGAAACGGTGGACCTGTGTGTTTTCTATAGCAAAGTAGAACATAGTAGTTTGTAATGTAAACTTGCCTCCCATATTTGACCCAACCATTTCTCGGACCGTTATCTCTACCACTTGGTAACTGATAATTCTTTAAGTATTCAACCAGCAGGATAAGGTATTTTGGAACAAAATGGAATAAAGTATAGCAGTAGGTGCAATACTGTTATGTTTCAACCACTTTGTTGCTTGCTTGCTTGCTTGCTTTTCAATCCAGGATGAAGTTTCATTTAATATTGTACCTCTGGATAAGTAGTAATGTTGTATACAATTAAAATATCAATTAGATAGTTTTAATAGCAGGGAAAGATAAGTATTGATTTCTTGAAAAGGATAAACATACAGAAGTTTATTTGTGACTGGTCAAACATCATACTGCCAAAAAAAAAACCTCCCTGAAGAATGATTGTAATGCACATAGCAATACGTGTACTAAGGATGCTAAATTAGTGAAGAATTTAGGCTTAAAAGTAGAAGAACATTGGGCTGGAAGTAAGGAATCCTGGACTGAACCTTATTAACTCTTCCTATTTTCTCAGCTATAAAGTGAGTGAGCTGAATTATATCATCTCTTAGGACTCATTCAGCAGTAAAATTCTTTGTCTTACAGGATTTTCAAAGCTATCAGAAATTGGTATTCAACAAAATGTTATGTTTGACTATATATTTCTGTGTGCTTTGCATTCTTAGGCTCCTCCTTTCCTGTTTAACATACTGATAGATTCTATAAGGTTTATTTCATTAACTTATTTAGTAATATTTGGTAATATAAATTAGGCTTCCCCATATTATTTAAATATTGAGGTACCTACTACACACCAGATACTACTCAAGATGCTGGGGATACAGCAGTGAACAAAACCAAGTCTCTTTCCTCATGAAGCCTGTATTCTAACAGGGGAGGCTAATGAATTAGCAAGCAGTGTAATATATCAGGGAAGGTAAGTTTTAAGAGGAGTAATAAAACAGAGTAAGGTTGAGAGGTGGGGGTAACTATTTTGAAAGATGCCTCTGATCATGTCAAGTAATATTTGAACAGAGACCTGAATAAAGTGAGGGACCAAGCCATGTGGCAGATGTGGAGGCACAGCTTCCAGGCAGAAGGAACAGCAAGTACAAAGCCACAGAGGTAGGGTGGCTGAGAGAGCCCTGGAAGGGGCTGAGTAGGGAGAAGAGTGGTAGGAGTTGAGATGGCAAAGGTAGCAGGGCCAGGTCATGCATGGCCCAGTAGATTAGGGAGTCTGGGCTTTGTGTGGAAGAAGATGGGAGGTTCTTGGGCAGTTCTGAGCAGAGCAGGGACATGATCCTTGGTTTTGAAAGGATCACTCATGCTACTGTGAACGAGCTTGTAGGGTAGAGAGGGTGGAGGCAGGGACCAGTTAGGAGCTGTGGAAACTCTCAAAGCAAGAAGTCAGTGGCTTCTGGATCTTGAATATATTTTGGAGGATGAGCCGAAAGGATTTGCTGATGTCTTAAATAAGTATTTTGAGAGAAAGAGCAGAATCAAGGATCACTCCACTGTTTTGGCCTGAGCTTTATAAAAAGTCTTTATATTCCAAATGAGTCACTGGTTTGCTAATGATTTAATCAGTGGGAAATTTAGAGTATACTTCAGAGGAAGAGACAATACTGCTTTAAGTATATGTGTTTTAAGTATATTACAAAATCATCTATTCATTTAGTAACTCATTAGTAATCTGTTCATTAAGCACCTACTGTGTACCAAGCACAGCTGCTTTCAAAGAATACAAAGATGAATAGCATATTTTGTCTGCCCTGGAAAAGAGATTTTAATGTACTGGGAAAAACAAACCTATAAACTGCTGATATAATATAGCGTAAATACTAATAAGGTACGGCTGTGAACAAAATGTAGCCCCCCCCCCGCTCACCGCATGCAGCAACGAAGACCCAACGCAGCCAAAAATAAATAAATAAACAAATAAATAAATGTATAAAAAATAATAATAAAGTAAGTATGAGGAAGAATAGAAATTTTCCTGCAGGTAAAGAGAAGAATGTCATTGCAGGCACTGAAAGTATTATTATCAACCAATTCAAATCTATATATAAAACGTTTTAAAGTAACACTATTAATACCAGTTAATATTAATAATACCTATTAATTTACAGAAGAAGAAAGCACTAAATGGTGGAGATCATTCAGGTTCTACAAATTCAGTGTCTTCTCTTAACCCTGTGAAAGAACATGGTGTATTGTTTGAATGCTCACCTGAAAACTGGACTGATCAGAGAAAAACACCACCAGTTATGGCTTACTGGGTAGTAGGGTAAGTGGAAAAAAGTATTAAAAAGTGACAGAAAAGTGGTAATGGAGATAAACATGTTCAGATATAGGCATGGAATGATTAATCTAACTATAATATTTTAATGTATTTTAGAATTTTATTTTATTTCCTAAGTATCTCCTTTAAATTGCTCCCAACTCTTTTTCTGTTAAAAAAAAAAAAAGAAAACTTATTCAGTTATCTTACAAAATCGTATTAATGATACCCTAAAAGGTAATGAGTCCACACTTTCACTGCTATTTCCTTCTCTCTGTCCCTACATCTTTTTTTTTTGTCTTTTTTTTTTTTTTTTTTTTTTACCCTTTTTTTTTTTTTTTTTTTTTTGCGGTAGGCGGACCTCACACTGTTGTGGCCTCTCCCGTTGCGGAGCACAGGCTCCGGACGCGCAGGCTCAGCGGCCATGGCTCACGGGCCCAGCCGCTCCGCGGC